TAAAGCTGTCGAGAGCACACCATACGAACTATGGCGTGGGAGAAAACCGAGTTTCTCGTACTTTAAGATTTGGGGTTGTGAAGCTTATGTAAAACGTCTCATGACGTCTAGTAAGTTGGAGCCTAAATCTGATAAAGTAATTTTTGTGGGATACCCCAAGGAAACTAGAGGGTATGAGTTCTATCATCCATCCGATAACAAAATTTTCGTTGCTCGGAATGGAACCTTCCTTGAGAAGGAGTTTCTTTCTGCTATCACTAGTGGGAGAAAGGTAGACCTTGAAGAAATTCGAAAACCACAAGAAGAAGTCCCGATAGTGTTGGAACATGAGCAAAGAGATCAACCAATCGAACCTCAAATTGCTCAAGATATACCACGTAGGTCAGACCGGATACGTAATCCTCTGGTTAGATATGGATTTCTCATGTCTGATGAAGGGGACGTCTTGTTGGTAGATCAAGGCGAACCAGAGACCTATCTCGAGGCAATTACATGCCCCGAATCTGATCTATGGCTCGAAGCCATGAAATCTGAAATGGAGTCTATGTACACAAACCAAGTCTGGACCTTGGTTGATGCGCCTGAAGGGGTAAAACCCATTGGATGCAAGTGGGTCTTCAAAAAGAAGACAGACGTAGACGGGAAGGTTCATACCTTCAGAACTCGATTGGTAGCAAAAGGTTATAGGCAAATCCACGGAATTCACTATGATGAAACCTTTTCTCCAGTTGTTATGCTAAAATCCATTCGGATAATGCTTGCGATTGCAGCCTATTACGATTACAAAATTTGGCAGATGGACATCAAGACGGCTTTCCTTAACGGGAACCTCAAAGAGGATGTCTTCATGACACAGCGTGACGGTTTTCAAATTGCTGGTCAGTCTGCCAAAGTTTGTAAACTGCAACGTTCAATCTACAGATTGAAACAAGCATCTCGGAGTTGGTACATACGTTTCGATGAAACCATTTCCAGTTTTGGTTTCGAGAAGAACTCTGACGAATCTTGTGTATACAAGAAGGTCAGTGGGAGTGTAATAGTATTCCTAATCTTATATGTCGATGACATATTGTTAATGGGTAACGATATTCCCGCTCTCACTTCTGTAAAGACGTGGTTGAGCGAGAACTTCTCCATGAAAGACTTAGGGGATGCTAGTTATATCCTTGGCATAAGAATCTACCGAGATAGATCAAGAAAGTTAATAGGTCTGAATCAAAGTACATATATAGATAAAATCCTTGATCGATTTAGCATGTCTAACTCAAAGAAAGGATCTTTACCTATGACACCTGGCACGGTTCTTTCCAAGAGCCAGAGTCCTTCTACTCCCGAGCAGAAGGAACTCATGATGAAGGTTCC